ACACATCCATGGGATAATGTCACTTGAGGCAGTGTCACTAACCTTGTGGAAAATCAACAAAAAAAACATGTTGGTTTTAAGGGTATGTCAATAATCGCCGAAAAAGCATCAACCAACCAGCATTTATCAATTGATATCCCTCTGACTAAACCCCCTACACATGATGCTTAAAGCCCAGTTGAAGCCCGTTCAAGGGCCCGGCTGCTTGCGCCAACAGCCAGAGGCTGTTCAAGAAGATCACGGCCTGAGAATGGAAGGACTTTAATGGGTAATACTATGACTACCCTCTGGTTATGTCAAAATAACTATGGAAAGATCCACAATTTTTCATGGGAAAACTCACTATTTCTATGGTCATTTTCAATAGCTATGTTAAATTACCAGGGGGTATACTATGATAATAAATAATAGATAATAGATAGAAATTGTAGAATACTCAAGATAAATATAGAAACCATTGATAATAGATGATAATAGATAAACCCTCTGGTAAACTAACAGAGCTGAGGAAAATCACCATCTTAATAGGCAGATCAACGAATTCTATGGGCCATCTATACCATAGCTGCCATAGCTATGTGAAAAAATACCGTAGTGCCGTACCTGAAATAAATGGGGAGACATTTTCTGAGGAGAATGAGGATATCTTCGGGATACCCGGATATATTCGGGATACAATGGTAGATGCAAAACTGAGGATATTATTCTGGGGATGTAAAGTCAGAACCGGAATATGGTTGATGATTCTTCCAATAAATGGAAGAATTTGCCACCAACAATGTAACAACCAATGTAACAAGAGAATAATCCCCAATTGAAGACGGAAGCTGCCCAACCTCACGTGATATCAACCTTCGAAAACAGATCGACAGTACCAGGAAAAGGATGGGATTTCGGAGCATCAAAAACAGCCCACGAACCATGTGCGTCATGTAAAAATTGATATTTAGCCATGACCCTAGCTGCAAACAAAAATCCGATGCGACTTTTTGCGACAAGGTGGGATCCATCAGTAATGTTTCTTGATTTATATTCCCCTTGACTATGGATGAAATCATTAAATATAAATCATTATTGATATCTATTGATCATAAGCCCCTAATTGCTAATATAGATGAACAAAGCAAAAATTATGGTCAAGCTAGTTATCTTTACCAACTGAGTCAACGATTTGCGGCTTGTAACAGGTTTGCTCACAGTCAGAGAGGAATTTTGGTGCCATCATTGGGCTTGGATGGGTTTGGTGGTTCCTAGATGTATCAGCAATGCTTTATCTCCTAAGTCTGAGGAACAAAACTCGAAAGATCCCAGGCTTTCCTAAAGACCCCATGGATCTATTTCTCAATGGTGAATCAGCTCTAAGACTTCGCGGATTGGTCACTGGCTAGTACCCATATAACTGCTATAATTTACAACCCATCTTTTTATGGTCAGAACTGAAAAATCTCACAACTTTCTAATCTAAGAATATCCTTAATCAATCTGAATCATACTATGGGATAGCCTAAGTTTCATAGTTTTCATGGATTGTCAAAACATGAGATAAGGGATACTGTAGTTATCATACAAAAAAATGGATGATCAAAACATGGATTTTATATCATTTGATCATAATCATACTAATGATCATCCATGTTTATCACAGTTACCCTCTGGTAAACATACAAAAAGCTATTGAAAATCACCTTTTTTAATGGGAAAACTCACTATAAATGGCAATTTTCAATAGTTATGTTAAATTTATCACAGTTAATCCATACATGGGAGAAGCCACCCGACCTACCAAAAAAAACGGGCTCCCAGGCGCCGATGAGGATCTTGAACCAGTTGGCCTGCCCAGGTTCGTGAACGTCGTAGATCAACCTGGAGATTTACCAGATTTTTAAGGGACAATGACTACATCATAAAAAATTGCTTGGTGAACTCTGGAGAACTCCAATTTTTATGATGTACTAATTTAGTCCCAATAAAAAAACAATCTGGTTGGTGGTTGACCTACCCCTCTGAAAAAGAATGGAGTTCGTCAGTTGGGATGATGACATTCCCAACTGAATGGAAAAATAAAAAATGATCCAAACCACCAACCAGCAATCCATTGATAGTTGGTGTCCTAAAATAGGGGATACCCCATAGCTGGATGATTTACAATGGAACATCCCATCTATAAATGGATGATGACTGGGGGTACCCGTATCTTCGGAAACCTTTATGGGTACAGTAAATTTCTGAAAAATCACCCAAACGCTTGATAACTGGGGATGGTTTCTTAATTTTCTTATTGGGTTTGCCACATTCCTTTTTTCCTCAGAGATTCAACCACCAATAACGGGCTTATCAACACTTACGAACTACCCTCCAGTAAATGAACATAGACCCTGCCAAATAGGGGGTTGGAAGATAAGTTTCCACATGTTTCCACTAAAATTTTGACTAATGTGGGGAAAACAATGTCATAAACCATCCCCTAGCCATCACCATTTTTATAGTTGGTATGTTTGCCATTCCCAGTCATGGGTGGTAAACATGGCATTGTTTTAACCACATTGTGTGAACATCTAATTTTTAGGGTCAACCAGGTCAACTGTTGAAACAATTGCCATAAATTCGGGCCATAAAATGGTAAAAACTATGGTATATATATATATTATATATATATATATATAAACCATCAAAATATGGCTGGTTTATTACTACTTTACTAAGATGATATGGGATTTATCGCAGGAAAAACTGGCTACATGGGATCCTCAAAGTGATCCGAATCGCTCATCGCTCCCTTGGCTCTTGGTGCCGCTGGTGTTACCAGAGTTCAGGCATGGAAATCGATGGATCAAAACGATGCTTGGTGAAACATTGACGGGTCACGGGTCAAGTCGCTCAAGTCATTGGCTGCCATGGCAAATGGGCATCATCGTGGGGAAGTCATCGAAGTCAACGGTGGATGAACATCACCAAATATCATCAAATATCTATGGTTTTATATGTTTTTATGGGGGAATGACATGCGAAAACCAATAGCCACCAGTTGTATCTATAGCATTCTATAGCTTGTATGGGGGAATAACATGCGAACCAACAAAACAAAAACACCATCCTCAGTGTCTCCAGAAAAGTGTGCTTCATTGTGCCATCCCCTACGATTGAGACTTTGACCCACAGCCAGTTGAGAAGCTGAGAAGCCTCTGACGAGTTCCGTTGGACATCACCCTTCAGGTGGAATCCCGGACGGAAAACAGTCCGAAGATTTCTACAAATCATGGCGCTGGTTTGGTCGAGGTTTTCGGCAGGTGGATTTAGCCACGAAAAATGAGAACTGAAGCAGTGAATACTGGATCTGGGTGTGTTTCAAAATTAAGGTTGGTTTACTCGGATACTAGCACCATTAATTGCATTGCCCGTTTGATTTTAAGAGGGAAATGATGCTAAAACATGGCGGTTGGTGGTACCCAATTTCGAGACGTACTCATACGATCTCATACGCCAGTCCTTTTTGGCCGAAGATCATCTTGTTCAGAAACCAAGTAACCAAATGCCGAGACATCTTCAGTCCAACGTCCTTGCAGAGCTTACATGACACCCTTAGCTCGCGCAGGTCGGTTTTTTTTCGAAACCTGCGAAGCGGTTTACCAGAGGGAACATGGAGGAATCGCTGGTCAGAGGAAAGCAATGTTTATGGTCTTCCAATAATTTTCAGGTTAACCCTCTGGTAAACTAACATAGCTATTGAAAATGGCCATTTATAGTGAGTTTTCCCATCAAAAATGGTGATTTTCCATAGCTACGTTAAATTACCAGAGGGTAACCCACCATAGTGTTCTTCCATGTTCTTCCAACGTTTGCTAAATAAATCCATTTCAATTCCATTCGGGTTGTTAGATCATGTTGGATCTCCCAATTTGATCCAATTTGGCTAGTCAAAAATGGAGTACCCCATTTACCCTCTGGTAATTTGTTACAGTTCGCTATTGCAAATGGCACCTAGAAATAGTTGATTTACCTATTGAAAATGGGAAAATGGTGATTTTTCCATAGCTATGTTAGTTTACCAGAGGGTAAATCCCATTAGATCCCAGTAAACTACCATAAAATCCCATTGAATCCCATTAAATCAACATAAAATCCCATTAAATCCCACTAAACCACCATAAAATCCCATTAAACCACCATAAAATCCCATTGAGTCCCATTAAATCACCATAAAATCCCATTAAATCCCACTAAACCACCATAAAATCCCATAATTAAATCCCATTAAATCACCATAAAATCCCATTAAGTATTGGACTTCAATCTGTGGTCCCCAAGGTCGGCGAAATACCCCATGTTTCAAAGACATCCTGGCGAGCGAACGCCCTAATGCGCATGAGGATATTGATATTATATACATATAATATATTATAAAGATATAGTGTATTAGTATGTGTATATAAATATATTATAGTGTATTAGTATGTATATATATATATATTGTGTACGTAAATATATATATATATATAAGACACTGTCATGCTATCCAGGTCTTGACCCAAATCAAACCAGGTCTTGGATATACTTGGTTTTTGCATGCTCTTGTTGCAAGATTTGAAGGCTCCGATGACATGGATGATTGAAACAAAGACATGGATGGATGATTGAAAATGAGGGTTCAGAAATCCCTAAATTTAAGCATCCATGCCTGGAAAGAAGCATCCATAAATTAATAAATCCCTAAAATTAAGGGCTCAAACATGACTTTTAAGTGAATTCAAGCTGACGCATGTCACCTGCCGCCGCCATGAGCTGCAGCTTCGGTCAAGGACAGGCAGTTTTTCACCATTGCCCCAGGGAGGTTCAGTGTGTAAGTTGCGCAACTGACACACACACAGTGCTGACTTCTTCAGCATCCATCGCGTGTCTACTGACGCCTAGATATTAAATCTAGTAGTGTATTCCATAGGCACACATGCCTGCAAAAAATGCTACTTACGCAGCATTGCCATTGTGTCTACTGACGCCTTGGCCTCACAGTGAACCCCAAGCGCACAAGCTCCGCGGAAGCCTCTGACTGTGCCACTTCTGCACCATTGCCCTTGGCAATGGCTTGCCGGTAGACCCTGCTGTAGATGCGGTTGCGTTCTGCAGTCTGCGAAAAGCATGGTTGCAAAAATTAAAAATTGTTCTTAATGAACTTTTTGGGTTTTAATATCTTTGGGGTGAAATCTTAATAAATCTTAAACCCAAAACTCTCCCAGGCTTATGTAAAATTTCAAACTGCTTCAAAATGTGATTTTTGTCAATACCTGCCTTGCTCGCCTTTGCTTTCGCTTTGGGCTTTCCCTTTGGCAAGGCCTTAGACTTGGCCTTTGGCAAGGCCTTACACTTGGCCTTGACCTTGACCTTCGGAGTTTCCTTGCCCTTCGCTTCATCGGTATGTCCTTCTTTGCCTTTCTTTGTGTCCATCTTGCCATTCTTTGCCTTTGCCTTTGCTGAGCACTTTGCCATAGGCTTTGAAGCACAGGTATCCTGCCAAGTTTGCTGTATAATTATAACATTATGATATGGGATTAGAGACAAACAGAAACTTAACAATCTTGGGTGTGAACAATCTTGGAAAACAAACCATATTAGTAACCTAAGGTCCTTCTTGGTGTTTGGCATGCCTTCTGGTGTCTCTTTTGGCTCTGGCATGCCTTCTGGTGTCTCTTTTGGCTCTGGCGACGCCACATCTTCGAGAGGGGCCACATCACCCATGTCCTACAAGTATGGATGACTTAGAGCCATGAAGTAACACTTTCAATTTTGAGTTGTAGAAAAACTTATGGTGGAAAGATATGCTGTAAAGTCCACGGGTCCTGATTCTCTTCTCCAAGAACCAGTGTCTTGTCATCGTCAAACTTGTCATCCTTAGTCTTGCTTTTCTCCTTCTCCCCCGAAGACTCTAAAAACGTTCCAGTGGCCAGGCGGGTGTGGAACTCCAAAGCTTCTTGAACCTCGATGCGTCCTTGTGATTCAGCAGTCATGAGGACAACGTGGCTGTCCATTGCCTGCTTGATAACCTTGTCAGCCTTCAGCAAGTCCTGCGCCAGGTCAGAGATGTTTTGAACAATTTCTTAAACACTGAAAACTAATTGCAAAAAAGAATGGGGATTTATTTGTGTCAGTCCTTGTCATCATTTGTCTTGGGGATTTCTGTTGAATCTTTGCTCTTCTCAGGCTCCTCATCCTTGTCATCATTTGTCTTGGGGATTTCTGTTGAATCTTTGCTCTTCTCAGGCTCCTCAAGGTTGACCACAGGAATCGAAGTAGCTCTCGATGGCAAAGCCACAGCCTTCTTTTTTCAATTATCACCAGGAAATTGACAGGGTCCCAAAACTGAAAATAAAAAATTGGAAACAGCAAGAACTAAAATATACAAGAAGGGGAGAAATCAAAACTAAATCAAAATTAAAATCAGAGGAATAAGAACTAAGAACTAAAGAACTAAAGAACTAGAATAAGAAAATTGGAAATAAGTAAGAACTAAAATAGTTGCCAAGTTGCATCGAGGTTGGCCGAGCTGAAGCATCTCCTGTACTTCGCATCTCCAGCAGGCTGTGTCTTGTTGAGACCCCACTTCATCGCCTTGTCTACCTTCTTCTCATGTACTTCGCCTGTGTCCATGGGCTCTTCATCTTCTGCTCCATGACGCTTGCGCTTCCCCTCAGTCTTGCTCTTTTTCTCGGAGTTGCGGTCATCCTGCAGCAGTCTGAATGACAGAGACTTTCAACAAGACCCTGGAAGAGACAAATTGATAAATTGCAACCAAAAACCATAAAAGGAACAAAGAAGAATCAATCCTTTTTCTTCTTCTCTGTTTTCTCACCCTTGCCCTCAGACTTCTTCTTTTTCTTTTTCTTCTCTGCTGTGCCATCTTCTTCATCCTCGTAATCTCCTTGATCATCATCATCACCGGGGTGGTCCATCATGTCAGCGAACATTTCATCATACTCATCCTCCTTTTTGCTCTTCTTTCTGGACTTGTTGGAGGCAGGTTTCTTCAGGACTTCAGGCTCTCCTTCTTTTCGAGGCTTTGAACCCTTTCCTCTTCCTCGACCCTTTGGCTTTGCAGATGCTGGCTCAGCTTCTGCATCTTCCTCTTCTTCTTCAAGACCTTCAGCATGAACTTTGTCTTCACCAGACTTGTCATCCGAAGAACTTGCCAATTCACAGCGCTGAAGAAGAGAAGCGGACTTCATCCCTTTGCTGGCTTGCTTGTCACCTCAGTGTTTGTCACAATGTTTTTTTATCATAGCGAAAAAAACGTTTTACCCCCAACGAGCGCCGTTTAAAATTTAGTTTGAAGCTGCCATTGGATCTACTGGCCTAGTGGTTATTACATCCCAACCTTTGAAACAAAACATTTACAATTCACAAAAAAAACATTGTAAAATGGTGTGCACATACCCTTCTCAAATGTTTCTTTTCAAACTGAAAAAAAACAAAATATCTCCAGCCTCCTGAGCTTTTCGCAGAACTGGATGCCCTTCCCCTTTCTGCCGCTGCTGCTGCTCGAACTGGTGCGTTTAGCAAAGACTGGTAGTTGGCAATGTCAAAGCGTGGAGTGCGAATGGAATCTCCATCGCAAGACACTGTGATCCCTTTGCCTGGGGTCTCCATGCTATCTATACCTGTTTGGCCTGTTCACACCCAAGACCTTTGAGCAAATGCAAGCCGGTAAATTCCTGTGACACAAAGACTGGCATTGCCACACTTGTACAGGGGTATGTTTACACCATTTTACAATGTCTTTTGATTTTTGTGGGTAAATGCTCAAGAACATGTGCTACTCAAAACGATTTGACATTGCACTTTTTGAGTCACTGGCACATCTGCACCGGTGTTCCATGTGAGCTTGAGGTGCTTTAGGCCCCTCCCCTTTGTTGGAGCACTGCTTGCAGTGCTAAGCCCTGGCATCTAGAGCCAGTACCATCAAAAGCATAGATTGCGCTACTCCAAGCTCTGGTCCAAGGGTTTTTCTATGAGGTTTAAAATCATGTTTTATGTTTTTATGTCAAAAATGAATTTGGTTGCCACCCACCCCCTGACCCAAACTTGTGAGCGCAATTCAAACAAGTTGGTACATCTCGTCAGCCTTTCCCTCGAAACTGGTGGTCAGCATCGCCACAGGACGAATGGGGATCAAATCTTTGCCACCATTCTCCGAAGGTTGAAGCCTGGATGCAGGTGATGGATTGGCAGGGGAAGGATGGCTTTGGGGAACTTATATAAGATATTGTAACTTATATTATATGATTTCACAACGTTACATGTATAAAGATGGTATTACCCACTGTCAACCATTTTTTTTAATGTGCCTCAGCCGCCAGCACAGCTTCACATTCTCGGCTGTGCGCAGCTTTGCCAAAGATAGCTTTGCCCCAAAGGTGACTGCAGAACTGTTTGCCTGACATGTGCAAAATATAGACAATGGTTTCCCCCTCGAATCTTAAATTTGTTTCATGGCTTTTAGGTGACGTATGTATGGGCCCAAAACTATAATAATAGCAATTAGTCAACATTATTTGGAAACACTGTGCCTTTCTCTTCTTCCCATCTCGGTTCTTGGGCGGGTCCAAAACGAAGCACACATTCTTGGCGGATGTCATGGTAAGAGTTGCAGACCCGTCACTCTTGTTGATGGAGTGCATGGAAAGCTTCAGGTTGACCTCCCCTGCATTCTCCAACTCATTGATTGCAGCCCCATATGTTGTCACCTTGGGTTTGCGGTTTGCATCCCAATCAAAACCCATATAGAGGATAGAAACTGTACAATCCCAGAGTTAATTGTGATACATAAAATCCAACCCAGTGACTTTTCCAAAGATGTCCATTTTCTTGATATGGTCTGGTAGGCGCCTGTCAGCCTCCAAGATGCAGGCTTCAGTCCCAGATGTCACCCTGAAAGTGACCCACCTTCCCGTCAAGTCTGACTGAACATCACGGGCAGCAGGCCCTTCTAGGAAATCACCAGAACCAAAGCCAAAAAGCTCCACAGGCCCTTTGACGTCGAAGGTATCCTTTTTCCTGCCTTCGCTGGTAACCCACAAGACATCCTGATCGCAGCCATAAATCAACTTGAAGGTGCCACAGGAAAGCAAGTGCCTCAAGACTGAATACAATTTGGTTAAAATATGTTAAAATTAAAATGATTCAAAGATGGCACTTTTATCCAAAATTGGTTTCTTTTTGTAACACTTGACATGGTTTTCCCTTAACCTAAATCCAGGGGAAATATGTTCTTACTGTGACCTTTTTGGCCAAGCTGCTTGTTCAGGATCTTGGCTTCCTGCTCAGCAGATTTCACGCTGTCATCGATGCGAAGTTTCTTGACAGCAGGTTCAGTGGCAATGTCAGCTGCGCCTCATGTGGCAGATGGAGATGACCATTATATGATATATTTATGAGATATAATTACCCCATACATTAAATGTATAATATATCATTTTGTATATTATATATTATATTATTTATATATACCCCATACATTCAGATATTATATAATATATTATTTAATGTATACATTTATACCCTATATAGATAAAAATTTTAACCCATATTTCATGGCCTATAGATAACAGTAAACCCCATACTTCAGGGCACCTCATTTTGAAACATATTTAAAGGAACCAATGTTGAAAAACGAGAGGGTGAAATAGGATCCAACAAAATCAAAATTTTGTCACACCTTCTGGTGGATCGGAACCCCTCTTGATGCCATGCGGATTGTACTTCTCATTGTGCTTCTTCAAGAGATCCAGCATCTCAACTTGGAAAAGCTCCTGGCCAGACCAGTAGTCAATCAAGTTCTGTTTGATTGCCACACCGTTGGGCACAGGGACACAAACCTGAAAATCAGGTGGTGCAAGGTCTGTGTTGTTCTTCTTCAAGTCATTGATCACCTGCTCAAATTCCGGGAAACCTGGCAGTTTGAGGGACCCTGCTCGGCACATCGAGTAAGCCTTTTCACCAATTGCTGAGACGCAATAGCTTGTTTCATGCTGGCTGTGGCATGCAGTAGAGCAACCAATCTTCCTTCCTTGCTGAGCTTTTGCCACAAACGAAACAGGCTACCAAAAGGAAAGTATCATCTAAAACGATTTGGGGCTAGGGGAAGAAAAGGTGCCATTCAGGTAAGAGTCCTGCTGCCATTTCTTTCATGGTGAAGCAAGCAGGCCAGCCATCAAAACCCAAAAGGTCAACGATAGCATTGTTGGTATCATCTCCACCAAGCAATGCCGATGTAATCTTCTCCACCAAGCTTGTGCCAGCAAGGTGCTGCAGGGCCAATGATTAAATTTCAGATTGAAAACTGTATGCAGGGATTTTGAAGGCAATATCTACAACCAGAACCACATTATATATATAAAACACTTTATGTTTTCGATACTTTAGACTTTGCTTGCCTGCTTCATTTCCTGCACCCTTGTCAAAGTTGACTGCGTTGCGAACTTGGAGCTCCCCTTCTCAGCTTTCATCATGTCAGACCTTGCAAGTAAAATCTACCAAGACAGAGCATCACCTAGTTTTTCAAGTCCTGCCTGGAACAACTCTAAGAAATGGAAAATTAGCGGGGGCTTCAAAAACAAGATGCCATTTCTTTCAACCCACCTTGGCAACATCCCCACTCCAGAGATGACTCCTGACTTGAACACTGGCATCTTCATGAAGTAGTTCCCACGGTCATTGCTGGTCACAAGCAATCCCGAATGAAATCCTTCTCGCGTGCCATAGGTTGTGGCAGGGTCAAAGAAGATTGAGATTGGTCGCACCTTGGGCAAAAAATGACCAAAAAAACCTTCAACCATGACCCTTGATCAATCTTGATCAGCCCTGGGGCAAGACATGGGAAAAATGTTTATCAGATAAATGTAAGCCCCTTTATTGACTTTATGTTATTTATGGTAAACATAGTATAATAAACACTGTTTTTAAGTCATCCCAAATGGACAATGTTCAGCAAAGAACAAAGATTGCACAGCCCTTTTGTTTGAGGCCCCCACCCGAAGATCCCTGGCTGGCTCCATGTACGTGCATTGCAGCTTGTACTTGAAGTCACGAAGAATTGCATCAGCTGATGCCATGGTTCCAGCATCATCCTCTCCATCGTTCTCGTTGTCACTTCCTGTCCCCCATGTGTTCAAACATCAACAGCTCATTCCAAAAAAACAAGACAAAGAGTTGAAGAAAATTGTTCATTCAAAACCCACCCCCAGTCCTTCTTGTTTCTTCACCTTGTCTTCTGGTCCTTCATCATCATCTTCATCACACTCATCCTTTTCATCCTTCCTTGTTGATCAAAATGAAAGCTAATCACCTTTAACAAAAAACGGACCAAAAAAACAATCCCCAAAAAACGGACCAAAAAAAAAACACACACACACTGTGGAGCCCAGACACTTGGGAGAAGCCCTGAGATCTGATGCCCGGTTGGGTAGCAGAATCACAGCCACACCAGTTCGAGGAAAAGAATGAAGCAACTGGGTCACCTGCTCAATGGTGAACACAAGCTTTTTGCCTGAGACCACGCCAGCCGTGACATAGTTCACCCAGGCAATCAGCCGCTCGTTTTCTGGCCTCCTGACACCATGCCCGAACGCTGTCATGGTAGCTTGAATCCAAGGTTCGTTTCTGGCAGCAAAAGTTGTTGCCTCACCTTCTGGCTCAGCTCCTGAAAGTTTGTATGAAAAAACCCTGAGATGTGAAACTTTGTTTATATCTTTTGGGTATGACAAACCCCTTAATGCATGTAATAGTAGGGGAAAAAAAGGCCATGAAGTATGATAATCATAGATGTTAGCCCTGTCCTTGTGCAGTCTTGGCAGCAGAGACATCCCATGTTGGCACCACTTCACTGACGTATTCATTCACCAGCTTCCATGCCGTGGTGTGCATTTTCTGAAGGGTGTTGGAATTAAATGTGGTTTGGGTTTCTTTTTAACAATGATTGGGGATACATTCCCAAAACTTTGGGGACAGATAGATAAGCATGTGAATTTATAATAAACATACTACACTATCTATATTTTCCCACGTGGTTCGAAGATGCAACAAGTTAAAACAGGCATGCTAGGTTAAAACCTGGACGTCTGATTCGACAATATTATTTTTTAGTATCAAACATATCGATACTATAATATAGTATAATATAGTAGGTGTTAGAATAGGATAGTATAATATAGTAATTATAGTATTATGGCATAATATAGTATTAATAGTATGAGACTTATAATATATGAAGTATAATTTAATATAATTTATAGTGTCTCAAAATTTTTGGAATGGTCAATGTGCCTCCAAGCTGTGCACAAGGACAGAGCGTGCCCGCTGTGATGTCATCTCTGCCGAGGCAAGGAACTTGTCTTGCAGAATCCAATCATTCTGCAGGTTTGTTGAGAACAAGTTGAATGCTGCCACCAAAGAATTTTTCCGTGCATTATTCACCGTTGATTGGGCTGACACAAGGCTTTCCTCATGTTGCATGGAACATGCCTCTTGAACAAAGGCCAATTTCCGAAAGTCGAATGTAGGATCCAACCCTTTCCTGAATTGGTTCTGGCTTACCAAAAAAAGATGTTACAAACCCTTGAAACTAGGTTTCAAAATTCTGGGCCATAAAAACCAAGTGCCACTCGAAGTCCAAGTGTCACTTGAACCCGCAGCTCGCTGTCCAGGGCCCTTGGCAGCATGGCGTGGTGAAGAAGCAATGGCTATACTATGTGATTCTTGGAATTTGAGAAGGATGGCATCTTGGAGATTTAGATGGTGGGTGGAAGGTGGAAATTGATACATTGGATCCCCCATCCTTCTTTAAAGATCATACTTAGGAACTTTTATATACAATGCTATATGTTGTAAAATGCAGACTTGAACAAAACTAAGATCGTCTAACAACTAAATCTTACCTACAATCCAAAAACTGGAATACTATGATAAAATGGAACCAAATGCAGGCATATAAGAGTTGAGATACAGTGATCTAGGGCAGGAATCAAATACTAAAGCCCAGTGGATGGCAATTCTCTTGTTGGCTTGGCATTAAGAAGGGGCCTAAATTTTAGGACCCTTTTTACATCAAAAAGGGTCCCAAAGTCAGAAAGAAAAGGTTACCCCTGGAAATCCCAAACTTTTGGGAGATGGAGTGCAGATTAGATGTATGGGGATAGTAAAAACCCATGGTAAAGGATTTGACATTGGGATCTAGAATTTAATCTAAATCAAAAACGGGATTCCCTTGAGGTTGGCATGGATCATCATACTGATCAAATATAGGGAACTTGAATTTAAGATAGATTCAACAGTTAAATCCAAATGGGGATTGGAAAAGCCATTACTACCTGATTTGAAATGGTTCCAACTAAATCTTAACAAGTGACCTGGGCAACCTTTTTTTAAATCAAAAAAATGTTTCCAGGTCACTTGTTGTAAGTAAGGACAAACAAGTGTTAAAAAAACGCTTTCCTATTTTAGAGGGTTTGCCCACCCAACTATCAAAATTCCTTTCAGGGGAGCCCACACCATACACCCAAGACTGGACCTCAACCACACTCTCAACGATGTGGTTTTGTTTTCAAAACCAATCTGGATGATGTGGTTTGCCCTGACCAGAAATACGGAGTGATGTGGTTTGGTTTGCAGTGTGACTTTGAGTGACGTGGTTTGAAGCGCTAACATGTTTTGAATGACGTGGTTTGTTTTGCAACCCCTGCTGGCATCACGTGGTTTGAATTGCAGAATGCTCTGGAATGATGTAGTTTGCTCCCTCCATTCAATCAATGGTTAGTTTTGCTAATCCTTGCCCATGGTTCGATTTGCTGGGATTAGCTTACCCATGACGTGGTTTGGGCAAACCACATCACAAACTCACCATTTCCATACCCCAGAGTTTTGGATTAGAAAATATGAAAGCCACCAGGAAATCCAAATTAACCCAAAACAAATGAAAAAATGAAGTTGATTTCTTGGTCCTTCTAGTGACGTGGTTTGAAAATTCCACATCACAAAACCCTATGATTTGATAGAGGGAATGATTTGGAGAGCTTAGATTCTCATACCCCCAGAATGATTGGTAAGCTGGAATCCTAGCATTTTGTGACGTGAAATTTTCAAACCACATCATGTTCAGGGTTGTGATTTCTGGGCTCCAAAATGTATGATTTTGACCCACTTTGCAATTTTCAAACCACATCATGTTCAGGGTTGTGATTTCTGGGCTCCAAAATGTATGGTTTTGACCCACTTTGCAATTTTCAAACCACATCATGTTCAGGGTTGTGATTTCTGGGCTCCAAAATGTATGGTTTTGACCCACTGTGCAACTTAAATCTGAGGCACCCCATTTTCCATTGCTCGAGAATGCCCTCCAGCAACTTGCCTTTGCCCAAGTGGGTCTCGATCTTTGGCCAAACATAGTTCATTAAGCTGCATATCTGCAATAGCTCCACCATCGCTGGTTGATCTCTCTGAGCAAGTTTCTGGCAGGGGACAGGGGTATACTCTGAAATATTGTCAAAACTGCATGTAGTATGATTTTGGGAGAAAAAAATATGGAAAACATTGGCAAACCATTGCCTTCTGCTTTGATGGTGCGTTTCTTCCAACTTTCTTCTCAAAGTCACCCATGGCACGGTCAGCCCAGAGCTCCACAGCATCTGCAGTCACGGTCTGGCAGGGAGAAAGGAATTACACAGTTTTTTTTTGGGTTTAAAACAGGGTTTGAACACTTAAGGCGCTTTAACCAACCATGCCTGTATCTCCTTCCAGTTTTCTGGGGAATCGACCAATTCTGTGCCCACGACAAAGAAGTCACCATCCATGTTCTCCATGGTGAGGGCCGCGTCTTGTGGCTTTGACTCATTGTAGCATTCCTTCAAAGCATCCCATAGGCCTTTTGGACTGCGAAGAAGATTGTAGATCAAGCGACGTGTGCTGTCATTGACACGCCATGCCTAGGCTCGAACTCTAAAAAAAAGGGATAGCATCTAACTACTAAATAGTAACCATTTTCCCACTAGGATGAGACAAGATGCACGGTGCTGGCCAATAGTCTTGTTGTAGTCTGCAACTGACCCCCAGAGCAAGTCACGAACGGCAGCCTTTTTCCCATTGGCACTGGCCTGCTTCAACCTCACAGACTCACGAAACAAGAGCAGCAGATCCAAGGCAGATGGCTTGACCTTCTCTGCCGTTCGATTGGCAAGGCCTGGGATGCAGTTGACAAAGGGCCAACAAAGATATTTGGAAAATAATACCTCAAATATATTTTGGTGGGACACTATGATATAGTATTAATAGTATAATATTATTTGTATGAGACAATAAAATCTAAAATATAGTTCATGAAATTCTATGCCAAGTCACTCAAAGTTTCATAGAGAAACCCTTCTGGGGTGGAGTGCTTCTTGTAGTTGCACTTCACATAGCACATAGATGCCAGTACTTTGCACATGTGTTCATCTTCTTCAAGCATCTCTTGACGCAGTTCCTGAAATTGAAACTGCTTGGACGGGAACAGAAAGAAAGTAACATAGACTGGTGAACAACTACCTGCTTTGAACCAACATTGGGACAACTGTTTTTTGTTGCCAGGATACCATCTGGTGCAGGAGCGCCACAATGGCTAACATAATAATGGCCTTGTTCTGGCCATCAATGTAGCCAACGGAGAAAGACTTGATCTGGTACAACCCCTTGTCTGCCTCGATAGTAGACAAGTCGAACTTGATGTCCAAGGGCTCCCTGTGTGCCTCGAAGCCGTTTTCCAAAAAGGAAGGAAAGTGCTGCTTGAACAAATGCGTCGCAGGCCACCTCCCAAACTCTCCATATTTTGCATTCTCTGCAAAGGAAAGCGTGTGCAACTCCAGGAAGATATTCTTCATGCTTGTCATGGGCACATTGAACACAGGTCTCTCGGTTCCCACATGCTTTGCCACACATTCAAAGTTGAAGATTTCTTCCATAGCCTGGTAACGAAGTTCCGGAAACGCTGGAAACCAGGTACCCAGAAAAAAATTTGTCTATTTGAGACAAGGGGCCTCACGAAAACGTGTCTTGCCCTCGTCAGAGCCATACTTGTCCCACAGATACTGGCCCATGTTTTTGGTGGTTGTGATCTACAGGGCAGGCAAACTCGAGTAAAAAACTTGCTTTTCATTTGAAAAACATTTGAAAACTTCTTGAAAACATCTTTGAAACGGTTTGAAATTCCATGCCTCCTCCATCATCGACATCAGGTGTTTCTTGATGCTAAAGTCTGGGTCATGTGCCTGAACCAATGTTTTGATGTGAGTGGGGAAGAAAGATTTTGAAGAACATGTTTCTAGTGCAACCAAGTTACAGCTGGCTTGGCTGCAGGCAACTTGGGCTCGTTGCCATTGTTTGGCGCTGCAGCTGCTGGCTCCATGGCAACAACCGCAAGCAGTTCGCTGCTTGGCTTGAGAACAAGCACTTGGTAAGCAAGTGGTTAACCCTGCTCGATTGTTGTCACATTAAAATCCAACATGTTGAAACAATTTTTTTTAGTTCCCCTATGGAAAGCAAGGTTGCTGTCTAACTTTTTGATACTAGCCCATCGATCAGTGATACCGATGAAACCGCACATTCATAGTGTGCAAAGTGTGAACCTCAGCATTTGGAAGTACAACTGCACCACGTTGTAGCCTGGCATGATTCATCAGCAGGAACTCAATCCTGGGTGGTGGTGTCCGGGGCATTGCATAAAGGCCAGCCAGCTGACGAATATACAAGATTGCCCTGCCGTACTGATCATAATTCTCCTCCAAGTATGAGGCAACTTCCAGCAACACTTCTTTCCGCTCATCGTCCAGATAAACTGCAACACCTGAACCGGGAGAACATGGAGTTATTTTTCATTTTCTACATTCAACCCCCTCTTAACCTCTTAACATGGTTCAATTTGGACAGCCCAGCTCCTGGTACTTGATTGGATGCTATCCTTCGTAGTGCCCCCATGGTTGCATTGGCTTCAGAGCCAGGCCACACCACCAAAACATCCTGACAAAGCTCAGTGTCACTCATGAAAGCCTTGACCATCAAGAAAACGTCATTGGGAGAGTCTCCACCAAAACGACGTGGAAGTTTGTTGACAGCTCTGTCCACCAGATGTTGTGGCATACCTGGGTGTCTCTGTGGCATACCTGGGGGATCCATCATTTAATGGGTTGAATTTGGGGACAACAAACCAATAGGTTAACCATGGCACTGTCACGCCGTGCGAAAGTGAATGAGTGAGGGATCTCCTTCGGGTCATTGCCTTTCCTTTTTCGGTATGCTCCAGAAAGTGTCGAAAATTGCTCCATGGAATCACACCAATTTCTGACAGTTGTCACGTACTCTACATTGAACTCCAAACCAGCTTTTTGGAAGCCACCTGTAAGACGTTGCTTAAGCCACCTTAACTGGAAGCCCCATGGGTATGGCCCCAAAAACATTTAATTTTTTTTTGGGCCTTGGCCAAAATATTACGAAATACAAAGATTCTTTAATGCAGAGCTAGCAACTTGAGAATATCCATTGGGCTCTGCCTTGGATGTGGCAGTGGTTTGTTTATTCCAAGCAATTTGTAAGCAATGGTGGAATTACCTGCCTTGCTACCAAGGTACATCGCCTCATCAGCTTGACGAATCAATTTGGCCACCATTCCGAAGAATGCATCTCAGCGCAAATTGTGCAGATTTCCCAGAAATGAGCTTTTTGAAGGGGATAATCTTGCAAAATAAAAAACACATTGGTCTCTGATCAGGCACCCACATCCTCATGTGTGTGTCCAACGACCAATGATTCGTGTGATATTGAGGCAAATTGCCCAGTAGATACAAGACTGCAGCAATACCTCCCCAAATGGGAGTTGCGATATTCCTAGGATGTTCATGGTACCCTGTGGTGTAGAATGCATTCATGTGCCAAAAAAATGAGATTTATCTTTCCAGGGTCAGCTTAAATACCATGAAAAAAAAGCTTACAGCTTTGAAACAAAGCTATGCAAAAACAAGCTTCCTTTGGTGTGTTGTCTGTGACCATTTTCAAGTGATTTGGCCAAGATCCATTTGAGCGCTGAAGCTTTGAGAAGGTCTTGTCCAGACTTCGTGACAGCACTTCAAGAGACCAATCTGAACCACTGCTCTGTTCAGCGTCAGCTAGAAACACATTGACCGAATGGCCATGCATGATACAAGCTGTGAACTCTAGTTCTGGGCGCTTTTTGTTTTCCAGGGGCTTCGGGGTGCGACCTTGAGCAAAACGAGGCAACCGGAACTTCGACTTGTCCATGGAGTCCACTATGCAGCACAGAACATCTCTTTGAACTTTGGCTCTAATTTTGGTCTGTGCATAAACCTGCCTGTCTGCAAAGACACCACCCAAATGTCTCATATAGCGATCAGCTGCTTGGGCATGAGCACTGATGTCTTTGGACGTCCGGATCTTGCTTTTGAGCTGGTGGCATATTTTGCATTGTGCATGTGTTGAACTGCCTCTGAACTTGATCTTGCTTTTCCAACCAGATGACTTCAACACCCTAAAGAAGGTAGAGGCACTGGATGCAGGCAATTGCTGGGCAAGGCATTCAGCTTGGTAGAGGCGGAACAGGTCTGAGTATGTACCGGGTGGTAAATGCCGTCTTGGCAAAGTAGCAGGGTCATGATTCCCAACACCCAAAGTTGGTTGCAGCGAATGCTCCATCAAAGCATCAAGTAGCTTTTGGCGACCCTCATCTGTAGAAGCCCATTGCTCTTTGGGGTCAAAATGCATCCTCACCAGGGGCGCCCAAAATTGAAATAAATTCAAAGTGGCAAATCATGAAACACTTCATAAGCTCAGGAAGAACAGTTGATAGGCCCAGGTACTCATGAGGCAAAGTTTCAGCAATGGAAAAGTAAATCTTTTGCAGGAAAGCTGATACAGAAGCAGCCGCTCGTGCTGTGTGGTTTTGATGTCCTTTGAAGGTGTGCCGTGGGCGAAACGCCACAATCAACATTAAAAATTAGGAACAGCATTCAAAATCGAAAACTGTTGGGACCGATGGTAAAAGGCAAGGCTCCCAAACTTCGAAGATCAGTTCCACGGAAGTTCTTCTTGCACCTTGCTAAACGCTCCCTGCCAATGCCAAGGATCTGGAGCCACGCTTCTCTGCAAACTTTCACTCCTGGCAAATGGGAGGCACAGCAACTTGGTACCAGTAGTGGCCATTATTTTATGTGTTCCTCCCCCCTCCCCAAAAATAATATATTGATTTTGGCAATGAGTTTGTTGCCCAGGCACCTTGAATAAACCATGACGCTTTGCGTTTCTCAGATTGGGAAGAAGAGGAATCAGAGGATCTAGAATCAGAGGATCTGCCCGAATCAGAATCAGAATGCTCATCCTCCTCCTCTGACCTATGGTCCATAAAGTCAGGGTTCTGGAGGCTCCACAACCTGATGACACTTACAAGTTGCCAATGCCAAGTATTGATTGGGGATTGGAAGTTACAAAATAGATCAACATAGGACAAAAATTGCCAAGTAGCAGTGAATCCTGCGCTCCCTTGGTGAGTGACCAGAAGCTGATGCAAACAGCCATAGCAACACGTAGTGAAATTCCACGTTTGCATTTCCGCTGGCAACACTTCTTGCACAAACTCATCCGTATGCGCTCTTCTGATCGGCCTTGAACTTGATATGTCGTGGCATTGCCTGAGGTAGCACCACAAGCCCTTCTAATATTTTAGGGGTGATGTTATTGAAGGATCAGAAAAAAGCAACTACTATTTGCCACATATTACTTCTGCGGTTAAGCTGCTGGAATCATCTATTTCCAAAGATTGCAGTTGGTTCCACCACAGACTACGGGTGGGATTGTCCTGAGTCTTCGCCTTCTTCGCTGCAGGCTCTGGGGATGAGCTTGCAGAGCTACTGGCATCATCATAACTGCTGCTGCTGCTGCCCGAAGTCCCAGCATCGAAGCGCTGCAAGGCCATGGGGTGCTTCAATTTATGTGCGGTTTATGTATGGGGATGTAGATATTATGATATATCATGATATAATATCCATAGTTTTGAGGACCTACCCAAATACGCATAGCTTGTGGGGGACATTCCCATAAATCCCAGAGCTTTTGGTGGTGTATCCTAAACACTAAATACCAATTTCTTCCAAGTATTATTATTAGCTTTTGGGAACTTGTTAGACTCTGACTTTTATTTCAAACATGTTTTCTGGCAAACAGGATTTGATGCCCAAAGTAGCTGCAGGTAATATCCAACACTGCAAATCCTAGCAAAAGTCAACCCTACTTGATAGTCGAAACTGAGAAGTTCCGAGACGCCAAGCAGCAGCCAATATCTTTTGCCAGCAGCCAATTTCAGTAGGTATCATGGAGCAATGGATCCGTGGTGTCGGCTGTGATCCCTGCTTGATTCCATTTCTGCAGGTCCAGCGTGGAGAAGAGGCACAGCCAGGCAGCTGCACAGGCTCTGATGTTCATGCTGTTGCCTGCCAAGTCTTCCAGCTCCTTGGCTTGCAAGTGGGGAGATGGTGCCACATGTGAAATGGTACCCAAAAAAAGTTGTGGAAGAAAAAGGAGTGCATGCAAGGATCTCTTCGGGAGAGGGGTTTCAAGTCCAGCTGGTGCACTGGAAAGCTTTGAAACAGCATCTTTTCCACGTCTGCAGGGACCAACTTTGAGAGTTTAATGAAAAACATGTTTACTTGATTACAGAATCAAACAACCCATTGTTTTATTATGAACAAAGTAGGCAAATACTTCCAGAAACCCTTTCATAAAAACAAACCATTGAAACTAGTTCACAAACACTTTAAAAACCCTGTCCTGTAACATAGCGACCCTTGCTCAGTTCAAAGAATTCGCCTCTTGGTGTCATGCATGGAGCATGGGAAGTGAGACCCATGCGCTCTATGCTTTGTGAGAGGTTCGTGTAGCCAGAGACTTTCCCTTGTGCCTTCAAGATGCACAGTGCCTCAATTCTTGGGGTTTGAATTGGGCATCACAAAAATACGGGACATAGGACCAAACGAAAAACTACACAATTCTGACCATGTTGCATGGCGCTGCCTTAGGTTGGAGACCACTGCCAGATCGGGGCTTTTGCATTGCTCAGCCACTTGCACTGGATCCAACTGGGCCAGGGGAAGGAAGTTTCTTCAATTGGAAAACAGGTATGTCAAATAGTTTCAAAAAATTTGGACCAGCCTTCAAAAGTTTCAGCGTTTTCCAATGCTTGAGAGGCCAAATAGGCCTCTCCTTTCGTGGCCTTGGCTGTGCATTCTACGCAGGGGTATATATATGCATGTACATGTTACAAATGGGGCCCTCAAAGAATTAGTCATGATTAGCCAAGATACAAAAAAATAAACCACCTGTTGAATAAAGGCAAACCGAGGGGCTTGACTGAAAGGTCAACATTTTCTGACTTTGGTTCCCGGGGAGGCCTCTTCATCCTCTCTGCGATATCATCTGTCACAATGGGGTGATCATCTGGATACATGAGCCTTCGCCTTGGCAGAGGCATTGTAAGCGCACCAAACATTATATTCAAGTAAATGGGACAAACATTGTAAAGTTTGGGATTGAGTAGACAGTGTTGGCTAAAACTAAAAACCTGGAGGTAAATGGCACATGGGGCTAAAACTGAAATGAACAAAACCATTAAGTTGTGAATTGAGGGACGGATCTGGGGGAGGCCCAATCACCTTGAGCCTATCCAGCGTTCTTTGCAGAACGATTTCCAAAGCCTTGTCAGACTGAATGTCATCTCTCAACACCTGGCGGTGGACGATTGCAATGTAGATACGGCGTCGCCTGGTGCAATCTCCAAGTTCCAATGGGTCCACTACCACCTTAGATTTTGAGAAGGGGGGTCAGAGTTAGGACACACATGTTTCAAATCCCCAAGGCCCCACAAAAAAAAAAAGGTTTGAACCCCCACCAAAAAAAAATCAACCGCTGACATGTTGCCTTTGCAGCAAAATACCCGTATGGCTTCAAGCGGTCCAAGGCCCTTCTCACCTGTGGCCAAACTCGAAGTTGGCCTAGCACATTCTCCAACAATGCAATCATGTGCCTCCCCCGAGCAAGCTCTGCAAGGCAGAAGAAGAAGGGGCGAGCAGCCTCCTCCCGAAGCAGGCGAGACTGGTGTCTCAACATCGAATACCTGGCATGATGCAACGAATAACATTGAACTATGTTTTTTTTGTGTGGGACTGTTAAGGGTAAAAACATGTAAAGACTACAAAACTTCCCTCACAATGACAAGCTAGCAGCGGAGTACATGGAAACCCACAACTATAGGTGTTGGAGTGATCATTGACCTCTTTGGTGTCCCTGTTCTCCATGTTCGAGAAGATCCTAGCTGCTATAGTTGGTTGAAACTAAATAATAAAATTGAAAAAAAAACTTGAAATATAAAAAATAGAAAGGGAAAAGATAACATTCGTTGGGCTGAGCATCCGCTTTGGCTTAACATTGCTCATGATAAATTTCAGCGGGCCCACTCCACGATCACACCTTGCATGATTTGGCGTGATGGGAAAAATCTGATCCATATAAATTTGGGGTGATAGAAAGTGGTTGGGCAACCCTTTTAATTTGTGTTCCAAGGCGCGAAGATATGAGCACACACTTCTTCCCCAGCAATTCCTTCAAAGCAAAGAACGCTCCTTCAGCTCCACTGCAATCGCTCTGCAAATGAACTGGATGCATTTGCTTGCAGAAATCGATCAAACCTCTTGCAGGGGGCAAGCTGAAAGTGTAAAACAATTCATTTTATTTGAAGGAATTCATCAGTTGTTGGGTACCCCTCTTCCACAAATTCTATTTAAAGGGTTTGCCACTTGCTAGGCCCCTTCTTCCACAAGTTTGGGCCTGCTTTGCGAATCATCTCGTATCCCCAGTTTTCCAAGTGATTGCGTTGCGCATCGGTCAGGCGAAGATTGTACTCCCACCGCTGGACATCATACCTTGTGGATGCAGCTGATAAAAGGGTTGCTGCCACCAGTGAAGTTTTCTGAAATTTAGAGGCGAAGGGGTTTGAACAAAAAATATGGTGATCCCCTCCAAGTAACAAGTGTTCCCTGGCTGTCTTCAATGGGTCGAGTTCTGCAGTCACTGACTTCTCAGAGCTAGTAGATTGCACATCGAAGGAGTACTCTTCCACATTGGATTCCAAGTCACTAGTGCCAGACGAGGATTTAGAACATCCTGAAAAGTCACCAGTGGCATCAGAATCATCAAATTCCACTCGGCCTGAAACGTCACCAGTGGCAGCCAAGGTACCATGGGAAAAAATCCATTTACATAGGGGTAATTGGGGTAACTAAGTAAATTTAAAACCCAGGAAAAAAAAAGTAAAAAGTTCAATCTTTGAGATTAGGTGCCACCAGTTCCGGGCACAGCTCCTCCCTGTGTCCCCCTACTACTCCGGCTGCGCTCATCAGAGTCAGAAGATACCTCCTCCATGGCTGCCTATTTCAATTATTGAATTGAGCCAATCTGGCCACAAACATCAAGGACCTGGTTCCACATAGCAAAGGTCCTGCTTTGTGAGAGAAGCTTTTATATATATACACATATTATATATATAATGTATAATATTTGCCATGTATTTACATATATACATATTGAGTATATGATTTCTATCCAAGTATCTATTCATGATGTGCTCTCACAATATGATACATATGTGTATATTACATGGATATATATATATATATATATATAATACGCTAATACATATAATGTTTAGTTGTACTGTATATCCCAAACGTCAATGCCTTCAGCAGCTGATTCCATCCAGTTTTCGCGGCATGGCCAGACATGGCCCTGGCCAGGTCACCATGGCCCGACGCCAACTCACTTCTTTTTGCTGCCACAGATGAAGGAACAAATCATGCCCAATCCTAAGCCGGGTGTCCCCGGGGGGTGCCATGGAAAGGTTCAACAGGTTCAACACAAGGAGGGGGGTTGGGAACAGGAGTAATGTGCTAGATCCAATCAAAACCTCCTATTTTGGATGAATACAAGCAATTGTTGATCAAATCTGGGCATGATTTATGATTGGGCTTACCACATTATAAACTCAGAACCCACACCGCAAGTTTTGGATGGGATGGTCCTGCAATCATGGGATGGTCATGGCATTCATTCCTTACGTTGTTTTTGTATAGGGATGTATAGGGTGTGTAAACTCTTATCTAGTTGGGATTATGACATTCCCAACTGAACGGAAAAATAAAATTCATGTTCCAAACCACCAACTAGTCATGGACTCAAATTGGGTTAGTTTCGACTGATTCGGTTCGCATGTTGGGCCAATCGATGTGAATTTGGCCACCAAAGATGGGATGACCGGATGACCCCAACGCAGAACATCAACACAGAAATGATGTTCATATCTTCACTGACGATCGACAAAAATATCCGATCAATATCAAAAAAAACATGACAACATCCCACGTCATTCTCCATGTTTTTTGTTCTCCGTCTGTTTTTTTTCCTCTTCCAGGGCTGATCTCTGGGCCGCCGGCCGTTCCTCAGCATCTGCAACTTGCTGAGAACCACCACTGCCTTGCGTCCCAGATCCCATCGGTGATCAAAGTGGGGGGACTGCGGGAAATCTCCAAAAACCTGCAGAAAATGGGCATCAATGGGCCCTTTTGAATCCAAGACATGTTCGTCTTTTCACCATCTTTTCATCATCTTTTCACAATCTGTTCCTGATTTTTTTGATTTCACCAATAAATGAAGCCATTTACATGGGTTTTCCTCGGTGTTTTCTACTCCCTCCAAGGGCTTGAAGATGGTGAAGATGGTGAACAATAGTGGAAACATGTCAAGTTGGAGCCCCTCGCCCTGAGGTTGGAAGTGCCCGCCTCTTTCTCCTCTTGCACCTGCAAAACGCAGTGGTGAAATCCAGATGTTAGACTTGGAACGAACATCAGGAAATCTATAGATTTACTGGGAGAAAAAGAAAAAACATGGAACCCCCCTGATGTATCCTGTAGATTGATGAAAATGATGTAAAATGGCGTAAATTTATCTAATTCTTCCCTTGAACCAATTGATAAATTGATGTAATTCTTCCCTTGAACCAATCCATTGATGGTACCCATGTCGCAGTGCTCCCTGCCCGGCGACATCCCCGGAAAAACGTGTGTTCTTCCAAGGGACTCCATCGTGGAAAACGCCTTCGAAGCTCGAGACTTGGACCTGCACAGATGTGTCAGGTCATTCTTTTCAACCAACTATTAAGGACCATACATATTATTATATACTAATAGAGGAGGTTCCCTACATATTAGATCATTATATTTAGGACCATACATATTAGTATGTATATATATATATACATAATGGAGGTTTCCTAAAATATGGGTACCCAAAAAATGATGGTTTATAATGGAAAATCCCACTAAAATGAATGATTTGGGGGTACTCCATTTTAGGAAACCTCCATATATATATATATACTATGGCCCATAGTATATATATAGGGATTGCCCTCCTGTAACAGGGGTTGGTAAATGTCCCCTTTTGGTGATTTTGAAAATCACCAAAACAAGTATTTGTTGCATATTATCAATGGGAATTTCAGGATCCTAAATTGGAGGTACCTACCATTAGTTTAGGCCTATTTTTCAGGCCTATGTAAGGAAATATCCCAACAAAATATGGTCTTATATGGTACAGTACCTCCATTTTAGGATCCTGAAATTCCCATGGATATTTATACGTTTTTATACGTATAGGCTATAGGGATTACCCTCCTGTACGCAAACATAGATGTGGAAAACCCACCAAAACCCACCATTTGATCATTTTCCAAACGGCAAACCATGGATTTTCCATACCCTAGGGACTGCGTCTCCAATTTTTGGCAGATTCCCGGGTGTT